GGTCCTAACTACATGCCAGAGAACACCATAAAAAACAATGTTTAGCTTAGAAACACTCACAAAAATGCCAAATGCTTGACTAGCATTACCTTAGGCTAAGATCTATTTGTCACAAACCGAACAGGATCTATATCTTCACTTCATTGTTTCTTTCTTGGGTGACAGGTCTAACTTCCAGTGAGGCACGCAGAGCTGTTGCTGGTCCTTTAAAACATGCTCGTGACTGAGTCCATGACTGAAGCCCTTTTATTTGTTAAAGATTAAAACGTCCTGTGTACAAACTTGTGCAGTGCCAAAACTGTAGCTCACAGGCAGCACACTGTCTCGCTTTTATGACTCCTAAGAATTATTGCTGTGTTTGGGAAAGAGCCAAAGTAGAAGAGAAAGCCCTGTTCAGATGATAACCCCTTCATTATGCTGCATCATTTACTGACGTATCCTTTAGGAAGTCCAAACAGGAAACCAAGCCAGCCGTGTTTGTATGAAGCAGCAGAACATAAGGCTTTGTTATGTTATGATAACCAGGAAGTAACACATTAGGTTGTTTTAACTTCACTCTTACTTGTCCACTGAATAAGTGGACAACAGTTTGGTTTAGGCACACACTCATGGCTTCAATATTTAAAGTAGGTTTGAAACCTTCACATATCTTCTCTCCAGTGTGCTACCTTCCTACTTTCCTTTATGTTGATGTACACAGATAGGACATTATTTGACGTCATGCTGATTTTATATCTCTTTTCAGTGAAGCTAATCCCCATTTTTCAAGCAGTTGTTGATTAAAGTCAGATCATTTGTTCTGCATGGCAGCTTATGGGTTAACAAAACTGAAGCTGTCAGTTGCTAGAGCCAATGTGGCAGAGAAAGAGAGAAGATCTAAGGCCAAATGAAGGGGCCATCCAGCCCCTGAGGCAATCTCATGTTTTTGACTTTGGCTGCAAATACTTGTAAAAACTTTAAATGAATAATGCAAATACCGTTTGTTTTTATTTGTCATACCTTTCCATTTTCCAGTAATAGTGTTTCAGGCATCCACTCTGCAAAGGGTCATGCCCAGATTGTCATATTCATTAGTGACTAATTAACTTTCCCTCTATCATTTTGTCTAGTCCCTTTCTGAACTTCTTATCTTTTGTTGCCTCCACAACATTCAATGTATATTTCCTGCAGTTTAATCATTAAACTGTAAAGGCAGACTCTCATTAAAAAGTGATTAAAACCCTCTGCTACTCTTTCTTAATCTGCCCCTCAGTAATTTAGCTAGGCACCCTTCACTCTGCTTGTGTGAGAAAGAATGAACACATCTTTTCCCTCTCACTTTCTCCATTACTATTGATGACTCAGAGGAACCTCACAGCATTTCCAAGCTGCAGAACCTTGTAGCAAAGCCAGCCTGTACTACCATCATGTGTGGCACCCTTCTTTGTGCTGTATTTTATTGATGATGAAAGGACTCAAAAGTTATGCTCTTTCCAAGATGTTGGTGTGCCTGCTTTGGTATAACCACCTAAAGTTACTCATTGAGAGATTTGAATTTAAATCTCTCCTTTATCAGGCAGTTCAGTGAGAAGATTTTGTAAGATCCTTCCATAGCTCTCCCAATATGTTTCAATGAATTTGACTACCCTAACAATTTTGTAGCAGGCACAAGGTCTGTCACCTTGCTACTATTCACATCACCTTTTTGTGAGCAACATGCTGAAAATCCCAGATCCAGGCAGTAGGATCCCACTGAGCACTTTCCTGGCAGGTGAGCAGCACCAGTTACCTGAACCAGTGTAAGTCAGCTGATGGAATATGCTATCGTTTTTACTTAACAGCACTCAAAGGAAATTGTGGACTAAAACATTCCTGTCAGCAGTGAGAGTGAATGAGGATGCCGCACCCTTGCAGGCTCCCCTGTAGAAGTCTGGCCCTGGGGGGGCTGGGCTTTAACCTAGAGAAGAGAAGGCTCTAGCAAGCCTTATAGCAACCTCCCAGTACTTAAAGGGGTCCTACAGGAAAGATGGGGAGGGGCTCTTTGTCAGAGAATGTAGTGATAGGACATGGGGTAATGAATTTAAACTAAAAGATGGTAGGTTTGGATTATGTATTAGGAAGAAACTCTTCACTCCAAGGGTGGTGAAGCACTAGAACAAGTTGCCCAGAGAAGCTGTGGCTGCCCCATCCCTGGAGGTGTTTGAGGCCAGGTTGGATGGTGTCCTGAGCAACCTGGTCTGGTGGGAGGTGTCCCTGCCCACTGCAGGGGGTTGGAACTGGATGGTCTCTAAGGTCCCTTCCAACCCAAAGCATTCTGTGATTCTCTGATTCCGTTCCAGATGAAAGAAAGCAGTTTGAAGCTAGAAATTATCAGACTTTGCAACTTGCCCCAGCTTAAATTGGAGATCAGCTCTGTTGTACTTCAGATCATGTAGGAAATTCTTGCTAGACAGACAAGAGAAAGGGGTGTCATGCAATAGCAGAAGTATGATGGAAATCGCATTCCCATGGCACCTCAGAGCTCAGTGATCACAGTGATAATTATGCCACTCTAATATGAATTGTATCCATCCTGCAGCCAAAATGCATACAAGTGCTAGGTTTGGTGTTACAAGAAATACTGGTGTTTCACACTGGTACATGCTAGCCTGTTTCAGCCACTAAGCTGCTCCTGTTTTGTGTCAGCAATATTCCAGATATTACAGGTTGTGAATGAACTCTCAGGATGAAGATGCCAAATGAGTTGTGAAAATGTTGCTCTTTCTGATTGTAGAATCAGCACAAACTGGGAGGAAATAAAAAAAAAAATAGTGGGAATCCACACATTCCTAACAATTCCTTGAACTTAGACATGAACAAGAAGAGCAGAGACTGGAGAAGGACATGAACTCTCTGAAGGTTCTTCCTGGAAATTAACTTCACCAAAGTTAACTCATTTTAAAAAAAAGTTTAAATTTTAATAAATTGTTATTTTCCAGTGACTAAAGTTTTAATAATTAAATCCCTGTTCTTCTCCACTTACACTGGCCCCTACAATAGGAAAGGAAAATTTGCCATCTTATTTAATGAAGTTGCCTAATTAAGTAATTTATTTTCTCTCTGCCATTTTTAAAGCACATACTGTCAGAACAGCTTTAATTTGTGCCTGACTGTACCAATACTTACTCATTGCACTGAATATGTAACCAAAAAAATGATCCTAATTGCATAAACACTAAAATCAGCTTCTTGTGCCTTCGCAGAGACTGTTAAAACAACAAAAAAAAATCCTCTGTATTTTTACCACTTATTTCATTTGACAGTGACATATAGAAGAGAAAAAATGTACTGAGGGCTGATTTTCTCTTTCCGTTGTGGATTATTGGGACCTTAAATGAGCCACAACAAAAAATAAAGCTCTGGCTTGCAATAACATGCAAATCATACACAAGCCCATGTTACAGCAGGTAAAGCCTCCCAGGAGCATCAGTCACTTGTCCTTGAGGAAGAAATATCTCTTTCTCTTGCTTAACTACACAAATGTAGTAGAAAACTTAACACTAAAAATATGCCAAGGGCTGGTAAGGAAAAGTGGGAAGCTGCCAAGCCCACATTATGGAAGCAGAAATCAAGTGCAGGCTTGCTCTTCTGCAAACTTATTGTCACATATCCCATTCATACACATAATCTGCTGACAGTGCAGATTTCATTCTGCATACACATACAGAACGAGAGCCTGACCTTGGTGACAGTTTTGCCCTTGTCTCAAATGGGAATAGGATTGCACTCTGCTTTATGCCTCAGGCATCGTTCCCTAAAAACTATGCATCCCATTCAGGTTCAGTGTGGCTCCTGCTCACACGTCATTCCAGTGAAAGCGAGCAAGACTTGCTTTCTGGTAGCTGACTGCATACACTAATTACTGAGACAAACCTTTAGACCCTTCCTATGCAAGAATTGCTTTGGCAAGCTGTTCTCCAACATGAGGCCTGTTTGTTTTTTTTTGTGCAAGAGTTTGGGGCAAATGGGTTTACTGGAAAAGACAGTGGCAATTCTCAGAAACATTCATCCAAAATAATAACTGTCACAGGTCACAACCAAATGCTTTTCAGGAACCCCCCCCCTCCCCCCTCCCCCCAAATTTTATTTGCTTTTTTAATTCACTTCTGAAAGCCAGGCTCAGTCCACAGCTCCCCTTCACACAGGAAGGAGCCACGTATCCCAGTGAAGCATGCATGTCTCCCACACTGCTTCCTTTGCTTACAGACCCGATCTGCTTCTGTCTGACGTTGTTGGAAAGGTTCCCATTGCCTGCAGGGAGATGTCAATGGAAAATTGGAGGCTCACTGGTGTTGTAAATAGGTTTGAAGACACCCGGAGGTATACATATTTGCATAAAGGAAAATGAGTATTTCCTTTGCTTCATCCTCTGTAAGGTAAAGAAGGTAGCCCTGATTCTGCCCGGGATACTAATTCTACAGAAATAATAACTAACTGTGAGACTGCTAGCATATATGGTGCAAACTAGAGCCTACAATAACAATCCACACTTGCTCTTGAGAATCCCAGGCTCAGCTGGAAACTGGTTCACAGTTTTTGCTGGAGATGTTTCAGCTGGTTTTAAGGAAGACAAAATTCTCGGCCCTTATTAACTGCAAGTCTTTCCTGACCTGTCTCTGAGCTCATGTATCCACTGAGTCCATAGTCTGAAGAGCAATGGCATTGAAGCAAGGCAATATTAAGAAAAAAAAAAAAAAAAAGGAAAAAAAAAAAGGAAAAAAAAAAAAAGGAAAAAAAAAAAAAGACTGAAAAACTATTGTTATCCGTACTCTGATCATCCCGCTGGCAACCTGTCTTCCTTTCCTCCAGGCACTGCCTCTTTCCAGACCACAGCTCCAGGCATAAGCTTCTAAATTGTTTTTTCATTCCACTCGAAGTCCCTCTTTGCTTTGGGCAGGGTTGTTTTTCCCACAGCTAGCTGCAACTAACACAACGTGAAGAGTGCTGTATCACAAGTATTTAATTACATACTAATGCCAAACCTGTCAAAGTAGCATCTTCCTGTCTCAGCTCCTTCAAATGTAATGCAGCTTCTGAAAAACACAGCCCAAGAAGCTTCTGAGTCAAGCAGGGCTGGGGTAGAGCGGTACTTGAATGACAGGCATGTTTTGGTCAGCAGTAATCAGCAGACAAGGGATGAACTGAAAAGGAAGATGTAGACACTTAAGAATAGTTTCAGGCTGTCAGAAGTGAAGAAAGAGCTTCTCATCCCACTGCGTTTCAGGTCTGAGCCAATTAGTCTCAGGCCAAATTCCCACTCAACAGTTAGTCTTTGGCCAAATTGCTACTGAATATTATGCCATGATTTTTTATTTTTTTTCCCAATTATTATTTTTAAGAAAAAACTTGATGAAAACTCTGGGATCTTCCCCAGCACACTCTGCTGCCGTCTGCATGGCTGAGTCAAAAACTGCTCCATGTTCTCACACTTTGTTCTTTCAGCTGCTGCTGGCGGGGGAACATAGGACAAAGCTCAGCTGCCACTTACTGGAAAACTCACCCAGCCTTTGACTAATCCTTAGAGGCATTTCAGCACTCTGTAGCCCAGCCCTGTCTGGATGCCAAGCCTTGTACTTTCACCTGGTACATCTATGGCATGTTCAGCAGGGACGTGCAGGGAAAGTAGGCTCCATCTCCTGTTTTCCCATTGCAGAGCTTTTCCAGAACAGCCTCTTTTTGCCCATCAGTCCAACGTGCTGGTTGAAGGCATAGCATTTTTATCTACATTCAGACGGGAGCCTGTGGTTTGTACCATCTTATAGCCACAGGCCAGCCTTTGCCTCGTGCCCCTTGAGGAAGGGTGGTGGGCAGAGGAGGAAAACTTCCTCCTCCTCTTCACACTGTAATCGTGTTTCTCCCTAAAATATAATTCACTTTTTTTCTGGCTGGTTTTCAACTTTGATATGTAAAAGTCCCACAAATCAACTAAGAGTGACAAGTACATTTTAAAGAAAGGAAAAAAAAATGAATTTTATTAAGGGACTTTGCATTTAAATTAGCTGTATTAGGAAAAGTTTCTGCAATTATCTAATTAGCAAAGATATTTCTCAGGGCTACATAACTGTGAGAAAGGTTAGAGATGCATACTTTGGCTATGGCCTTGTATTTCTGAACTATGAATTTCAGATTTTTCTTTTTTTGAAACAGTTTTTAATTGCTTTTCCTTTTCATTTCTACTGTGTAATATCAGGACATTTACAGTGTATGTAACAGAATATGTAAGTATGTTTATTTGAAACCCTTTACAAAGTTACAGCAGGACGAGTAGAAGCTTAATTCAATGGAAAATCTTTGAGTAACTTTGCAGAAGCCAAATGCAGTAGAAAATCCTTGAGCAACTTTGATGGGCTGCATGATTGGTGAAAGTGTCAATGTCAGTATCTTAAATTGTTCATTAACTTGCTGCTGACAACCAAACTCCTGCAGCCAAAACAACCATTGTATGAATCACACACACACACACACAATATTTAAAAAAAAAAAAAAGAAACTGAAGTGTTTTCCTGGTTAAAAAAAAAAAAAAAAAAAAAAAAAAAAAAAAAAAAAGCATACATTAGAAGCTTATACAAAAAAAAAAAAAAGCAAAACAAATTGTTAAATAAAGGTGGGATTATAAGTGCAAAGGGACAAAGTTGATTATATAACTGTATTGTTAGTTGTTCTGTGAACCTGAAATAAAATTGAATTAAATATTTATATAAAATGTCCACAGACCTAGAGAGGCAACATAGAGAAGAGGTGCTAACATTAATTTTACATATTTATATTTGCCAACATCATTAAAGGCTCCAAAGTACTTCTTGGATTTTAAGCCACACTGTGTTCAAACATTCAGCAGTCAAATGCAGTCTCAGATTACCAAAAGTGAGCATGATGTTTCTGTGAAGATATTAAACCACGTATCTGTCCCTAGCCACAGCTAAAGGGGAAAGTTGGGCTTCTGTAATGTACTCAGCTCTCCCTTGCAGATTTAGTGTCTTTTTTGCTCACTTAAAGTTGTCTTTTTAAGATAAGTTTCCAGCATGCCAAGTTCAGATGGATTAATAGGGTAACAACTAATTAAATTTCTTTACTTAGTTACATAAAGAGAATGAATGGCTCTGAATGGCAGCTCAGCCTTCTGGGGTATCAGCCACTCCTCCCCATTTTGTGCCATCAGCGAACTTGCTGCGGGTGCACCCTATTGCATCATCCAGGTCATTGATGAATAAGTTGAGCAGGACTGGATCCAGTACAACCCCCTCAGGGACACTGCTGTCACAGCTTGTCCTAATCCAGTGAACATGGAAAACAACTGTTCACTGTCTTCTTGCCGTTTTGGAAGTCTGTTATCAATATCACCCCAGCCTTCTCTTACATTAGCAAATTTGTTTAAATTTATTCCCAATAAATCTTATTTTCCAAAACTTGTCTTCATGTATCTCTTCTGGATTGTCTCTAATTTATGTGCATCTTTCTCAAAATGTGTTTCCAACTGAATAAAGCCTGAATCTCAGATGAGGCCTTCCCACTAAGAACAGAGTGGAGTAAATACCTCCTGTGTTATATATAAGAAAACCCTATTAGTACTTGTCAATACAAATTGTCTGTGTTGCAACTGTTTTGCATTACTGACTCATGCAAATTTCTGCTGGACTTTGTCTTCCATATGCCTTGTAGAGCTTCTATTGCTTAATCAGTTCCTCAAATACCACCGAGGATTATTTTTTTTTTTTTTACTAGCGTGTTCCTTTCTTGGGCTTATCTTTATCAGTTTGTACTATTACCTACCCCCCACCCCCTACCCCCATATCAGTTTAACTTTGACCCTTGTTGTTTATCTTCAATGTGTTTCCACCCTATCTTACTCATTTAACATATGAATTCATTAAGTATTCTCTAGTTTGTCACCAGCATTACTAACTTAAATAAGATTAAGTAGAATTAAACCATTTACAGGGATTAAATTTGCAACATTGCCTTGAAATATCCTGTTTGACAGAAATTCTTTGGTGATTACTGAATGAATATTCTTTTCCAATAGCTGAGTGTCAGCCTTACGTTCCCATCATCTTAACCACATTTCTCTAGTTTACTTGTGACAATCCTCAAACCCCTTATTAAATCTGAGATAAATCACAGCTGCTGCTTTCTCTTTAACACTAAGTCACTTACCCTAGAAAAGAGGAAACTGAACTAGCATGGCTTGCTTTGGTATTGGCATACCCACCTTATTTTTAACCAGCTTTTTATCTCTTACATGTGTTCTTTTTCCTTAGATACTCCTTGGAAGTTCTTCCAAAGATATGCTACCTGTCTGACTTACACTGATTCAAGGCTTCCTTCCTTCACTTATGATGCTATTGTTTTGTAGTCTCCTATAACTCAAATTAATGTCCACCCTCTGACTGGACTGAATTTCAAACACATTTAATTATTCTCCATTATCTATTAACTTCCTCTGTATCTACAACACAAAGTTGCCACTAACACATTCCCAGAACTTGATGGATCATCTGTATCCTCATCTGTTTCTTTCTCAACAGATATCTGAATAGTCCAGACCGTTACTACCAGCAAATCCTTACCTCTGCCATTACTGTGAGACTGAATCTTTTCTCTTCAATTTATATTTTTGCCTAAAAACGGTGAAGAAGTCTGCCTTCCATCTCTTTCTGGCCTTGAGAAGAATCATAGGCAATCTGAATTTGCAGACCTCTCTTGTGCCTTCCTTGGCCTCTCCTTTATCTTTGTATACTGCATTGTAGTATAAACTATCAACTTTGTTAGGTGTGCAGAGTACACTAAAACATTTTACAGTGTAATGTTTAAAAGAGAAGAGAAAAAAATGCATGCAAATGCATAATAAAGTCACAAAGAATATAGGATAACCCATATTTTACATATATGTATAGTGTATGTATATATATAATGGAATTAATTCTAAAGTAAGTAATCTCTTTTATTTGAAACAATGGAAGAGTAAACACTAGTTCAAAACCAGATATTAACTACTAGAGGTTTTTTAATGTTTATTTTGAAAGGCTCTTGTAAAGTGGAACATACTTAGCTCTCTGACACAATCTGTGAGCAGGAAATTAACTAACACAAATTATATTTCTCACATTTTTTCCATTCTCCCTAATTGTGTCATTATGTAAATACCACACTTCTTACACAAGTAAATCAGCACCACAAGTTGCAGGAGACTAAGAAAATCTTTGATCTGAAAAGCGTATCTGTTTGGCAGGAAATCTAAAGCTTTCCTAGGGTTTAAAAAAAAAAAAAAAAAAAAAAAGGAGAACAGACAGACAAGCTGCCAGCTACTGAAATAAATTACAAAACCATTAGATTATCTCATTGCAAAGGAAGGTTGGGAGATAGGTAAGGTTGAACAAGGTTGCATAAGGCGCTCTCTAATGAATTTCAAATGTAAAAGAAATTGTATAAAAAATGAGAATTAGTATCAACACCTATGGCTATAAATAAATAGTCTGAATTCTCTAACCCAGAAGCTGGCAGAATTAGGCACACCTAGGCTATTTCTTCACATGAAGGACCAGGAAAGGAGACTTAAGTAGAGCTATATTTCCTGATCCATCCTTTCTTTCCATCCTTCATCCTGCCACTTCCAGGGACACAGAGATACTTTGCACTCAGGGAGAAAGGGAGAAAGAAGGGCAGGTGAAAGGGAGCCAGACGACCTCCTCAGGGAGGAGCTGGGGGATGAGTCTGTGCCCCCTCTGCCCTGTTCATGAGGAGAACAGAACTGTGACAGTCACAGGACCTCATCATTTCCATATCCAGACACATGCAGTCTCATTGTGGCACATTTCTGGCACTGAGATTTGTTTTCCTCATTCTAAAAATCATCTTAGATGTGGTCTTTCTTATTCCCAGGAGAGAATTTTTTCATCCTATGCACTAGGCAAAGGCAGGAGCCAGCAACACCTACAGCTGTTTCGAAGCCCAGCTTTTCAGGCTGCTCCTCAGTGTCAAATGTGTCTGTGTGTCTGAATACCAACCCAGCCCTATCTTCACATCACTCTACAGCACATACGTCTATGTACATACCAACACCTAGTTACAGACACTTGGGAAATTTTCAGGTCACCTAGAATCAGGCCTGGAGGGTTAGAAAATGATGGAAATTAGGAGGTGGAGTTGTCTTGACTCTACTACACTGCAAGGTCAAGGAGTCAAAATTCATATTTGAAGAAAAAAAGGATGTTTCAGTTTGTAAGTATGGTGCAAATCTGAATGGAGAATGACAGATGGCCTCTCTCTTGAGATGTAGATGAGAGGAGGTATCTCACTGCCAGACTCAGTCTCTCCTCTGCACACTGAATATGCAGACGTGCTGTATGCACACCGTTGAAGGATGCAAGATAAGATTTAAAATCTTATCTTTCCACAAAGAGTTTCTGCGAAAAAGAGCTTGAGAACCTAATGGCCTTCAACATTAGCTTACGCCCTTCCTAGAAAAAGTGTAGGTTTGTCACCAGACAAGGAAGGAAAAGTACCTCTTTATGGGAACTAGGGAGCTATTTTCCAGCTTAAGCAGTCATCAGCTGGCAGATGCTTGTGGAAAAGCTGTCCTTTTCAACTGAGGCCAGGAAAGCAGTGAAGAGATACTGAGTGAGAACATATGGCATGATTTCATATTGTATCTCTCTGTAGCCTAATTACAAGAGACAGCTAGCCCAAAAACAGGAAAGTGAAAAATGTCAGGGTGGAGCCTGCAACTGGGTGCAGTCAGCATGGACCGAGACAGGGAGTCACAAACAGTAGGGGAGGGGTCAGGGGAGGTAGGAAGAAATAGCCACACTGGTTGCAAACAGTAAAAATAACAACATAACCTGTAATTTTGAACAGTGTTATTTTTCTTTTTCCATCTGCAGTAAATGGTATATGCTGTTTTGCTGTTTTACTGTTTCATTAATTGACATCCTCCATCCCTTTGACTTTAACTGGGCCTGGCTTGACTAGCATCCAACTTACCATTGTGATTTTTAATAAACAAAAGCTCTTTTTTGAAAGCAAAAACACACTTAAAAACAATATTTAAAAAACATGAACAAGATTGATGAATGAAATCGAGCCTTCTGAAATTAGGCAATACAAGAATGGAGAGTTCAGACACATTATAAAAAAAAAATTTAAATGCATGATGCATATTCTTTTCCCCAGCTTGCAGGGCACCGGATGGACAAAGCCATGGAGCAAATCAGGACTTTGCTGTACAGGAGGTTGCTCTTGATGGGATTCCTCTCTCATTCATCACAGAATCTGGAAGCTGGTAAGGGATGAATTAGGGGTGGGAGAAAACGAAAGAGAACATTGATTATTTTTTTGATGACATGAATGCTGACTTTGAAAATCACATTTCATCTTCAGCTTTTCCACAAAACTCCTGTGGAATGACCAACAGGTCACAAAAATAAAAAATACATGGGTGATAACTAATGCTGTATCTGCCTTTTGATACCCAAATGGATTGTTAAAATATTGCTTGTCAACGATGCAGCAAAGACACAGAATTTACTCAAGAAAGAAGGTTTAGCTGCATGTTTCATGGAATAGACACCTGGCAGACAATGTCCCTGATAAACATAATGATATTGCAGGTACACAATAGTTTTGAGTACCTTAAAGCTTTCCTGAGATTTCTTTTTCTTTTTCAGTACAATATGATCATAGTTATATACATATATACATATATATATATATATATATATGGAAACGATTTCATAAATTTCATCTAGATAAAACTGGGGGAACTTTTGAACAGGCTTTCTTCCCTTCCATCCTGCACTTCTGTGTATTCTTTATGAATTCATAGCAAGTAATTCCCCAAGCCCACAGTGCAAACATTGCTTTGAAAACGAGTGTTTGAGACCCTGCCTTTAAACTCTGAGAGAGTCCCAAGCTCCAGGCAGTAGATTCAGGAGACTCAAGTGTTAGTTATGTTTTGAAAAGCTTTCTGGGGCCTGTGAGAGTGAAGCAAATAACTTCAGTTCATTTATTTATTTATTTACTTTTAAGAACGTTTTGAGCTGTTGAATAGTAAGTTGCAAAAGTCTAAAATACTTCATAGGGAATCATACATCCCTCAAGATAATGGCATGCCAACCTATAATATCCAAGCTCTCCGCTAATGTTAGGTTTTAGTCTTATTCCGCTATGTCCCTAAACACAAATCCAAGCAAAGTTGATGGCTTTTGAATGTAAGGTCAAAAGGTGAGCAAACAATTTACATGTGGCAAAAAATAACTGTGCTAACTATAAAATCACCCTCTTTTTCCCCCCAGTGAAAACAGACACATGTTAACTATTTGTCCTGAAGGAACAAGTTCAAACCAAGTGAAAAAGATGCAATTACATTAGTCACTTCTTAACAACATCATGTGTTTTGTTACAACTTTGGCATTTGTTTCAATACCTAAATTTAGCTCTCCCACACAATCTTGGAGTCATCAATCTTAAAGCATTTACATGACATGAGAAATGCAGGAGTTTGAGAATACAATACTATCAACATCTGCATTTAAAAAAAATAAATAAAAATCCATTAAATATGCCTCAGCTTACTTCATTTTATAGTCATTCACAAATAATTTGTGGTCTCTGATCACATGCTTTGAAGCTACACTCAACTCACGTGGAAAGGCTGAATGACAGTATATGGTCACATCATCCATGATTCAGCGACATATTTTGATTTGTGTTGAAAAACTGAAATATGCACTCCGTTTCACATCAGACATGTGGCAAGAAGTCAAAGGCTCCCACCTCATGAGCTAATCTGAACTGCCTCAGTCCTAAGGAAAATATATCACATGGCAGAGTGTGAAGCCAAAGTGACTGCATCCAAACAGCCATATGCCCAGAGGAACAGACAGCTTTTACATCACCTAGGATTTCAACTAATGAGAACAAAATAGCCTGAAGTGAAGATAACACAGGCAGAGGAGAATGGGAGGTACAGTAGTTGTTCTTCTCCCTAAATAAAAAACTGCTTATTTCAGTAATGTTATGACCCAATAAGTCTATGCCAGAAGTCCACTTGGTTTTAAATCCCTTTTCTCCCCCTCCAGTGTTTCTTTCTTTCAATGTTTGAGGAAGTTGCTTTGTTTAGAAGGGAAGAATTGAGTGCCCAGAAACCCAGGGGTTCCAGAGAGCTGAAGGAGTCTGCAAGGCTGCCAAATTTGGGGCTACAAGGTCCTATTCTGCACCATGCCAAAACACCAAGACCTGGCACCTCCATTCAGATCTCTGCCCGTTCACTGTGCAGATCACTCTGTCTGTTTTCCCCCATGCAGGATCTTGGGTTCCACTGTGTGCTCTCCTCTTTCCCCCTGACAGAGCAGAGGAAAGGATGAGGTGTGACAAAATGCAATGCAGTTTTCTTTCTGCCATTCCTGAGCAAGAAATCTTGGGATGAGAGGAAGCAGAAGGACTACTGCTCTCAGGAGAGCTGCACAGGGACTGGTCTCTTTGCTCCTCTACCCTATCTCCATAGGAGGTGAAGAGTCCTGCATGCTTCTGCTTGGTTTCCTGAAGGATTGCTCTTCACTGGAAGGTGGGGAGAAGGGGGCAGCATCCATTCAGAGGGATTCCTACTCCTGCAAGAGGCCTGTACATACGTTGTCATGTAAGAGTGGCCTCAGCCACAGGTGAAGGCTCCCATGACCAGGGAGAGTTGCCTGAAGTTGCATCCTCTTTGCTGAAATGTATGTTGCAAACAGAATAAATGAAAGGAAGACAAAATAAATAAATAAATAAAAGTGCTGAAACTGGATCAGTTCCCTGGAGAGACTGAGGATGAAGACTAATCTCTGCAAATAATGTTTTGCCCGTACAGACAAGCCGTAACATGCTCAGACCTCCCCAGTGTATTGCATCATAACAAATTGTTTTTAGGAATAACATGCCAAAAGTACTATGGGTCAAAAGACATTGTAGAATCAGGATTTAATTATTTTTTAATCAAAAAGAAATATAATAAAGGCAAATGTAAAACATTACAAGCACAAATCTGACATGAACTTGATGACTGATGTATATGCAAAGTCTCGGGCTGCTTCTGGATAACCAGTGTCCCATACTGGGTAGACAGATGATTAGAAACTTGAATTACTGACTTAACCATTGGGGCAGGTGTTACATCTGGGTAAGTCAACATTCTGCTTTTATAGTTAAAGGTAAACAAAAAATAAATAAAAATAAAAATCCAGGCACAGGCAATAATCCTGAAATGTGATCCCAGAAGCTGCAAAGTATTTCTGTCAAGCCCCTTGCAGTTATGTTTCAGCAGTTGGTTCTGTCTCCTAAAGCCCTCTTCCAGGGCTGTATGCTGCTGCGAGTTATTACTCCACTTTTTGTTCCTTGAGACTTCACTCCTGCTTTCCTGCACTGTCCGGGGATGCTGAGGCTGGAAGCTCTTGGTACCCTCACCAGGGCAAGTGGCTCCCAGTGCATGGCCAAGTGTGAAAGCCACAACAACAGCCATTAAGCAGTAAAATGAACAAGCAGAAAGTAACCTCTGTGAGACAGAGTGAAAAAGGGCAGAGCAAGGTTTAAGGGGCTCCTCCTCTCTGCATAGCACAGGCACTGGGGTCATGTGGAGCCCTAGCTCACCTCACCAACACAATTTTGTTTAGAGACTGGATTGTGCCCTCCAGCAGGAAATCCAAGATTCATTAAGGGCTTTTTTTTTCCAAGGAAACTGGCATCTCCGAGAAGAGTTTAAAGCAGATTAGGACTCTGGACATGACTACAAAGACATACAGCAACTGTGTTCAGTGTTTAATTCTTTTGATCTTCCAGCCTTTAAAAGCTTGAAAGGGCTGTATAAATTTGGCACTGGAGGTTTAGCTGAGGAAATAATTGCACAATAATTAAACTCTTAGATGGGATTTTGTATCTGCATCTCTACAGCTTGTTTTTTTGTTTATTTTTTTGTTTTTGTTTGTTTGTTTGTTTTTGTTTGTTTTTTGTTTCCAATGGAAATAAAGAGCACAAATCTGCAGGACATGATGCAGCCTTGCAAACAGACCCCCTGCTGCCACACACATCAAATCCCTTTTGCAGCTTCACCCAGCTCCAGGTTAAAAGTCATTTCTTTTCCTCTCCATTACTCCTTCTGAGAAGGTCTTTCAGGACCCCACTGCTGTGCAGTGATTAGCGGCCAACATAATTTTGGTTACGCGTCTTTCATCCCATTCTGCTTCATTAGCTGAAATATTTACAATCACAGGTTCTCCAGCCCCCAAAGCGTCCTTTCAGCACTTCATATCCCTCCCTGTAGGAAACCACCCTCTTCCACACATCTTACCCATGCGTTCCACATTTCCTAAGTGAAACCGTGCCTGTGTGATTAAACAAAAAATAAATAAATACGATTTGTTTATATATTCTTCCCTAACAGGGAACTGTCACACATGGGGCTTTGATGATGTGAAGATGTGAATTTATGACCTTTCTCTACAGTGTATCCTCAGGCATGTTACAGGATTAAACTCAGCAGGTAAACTAATAGCTGTGGTCAAAGGCAGGGCATCTGTGTGTCCCCTGAGCTGATAGCTCCTCTCTACTACAGAAAAGAGGTCCTCATCTCCAGCATCCACAGACTGTCAACGATGAGAGCTGAGAAACCACTGTTGTTTGCTGGATGTCTCCTCTGGAGAGTCCCTCAAGCTGGCTGGAAATCAGCTATGATAAGTCCTAGTGAAAAGGAAAAGAGCAGCACCAACATATTGAGGATATATATGTAATGATACTAATTACTTAGTTCAGCTGCATCCCAAACATGAAAGCCGCAAAGTTGTCGAGTCTTTAATTTTCCAATAAACTAACATGGTATTGACTATGTCCAGTCATACTCTGACCTCCCCAACACTTATGACAAAGCACATTCAGGATCCAAAACAAGCAAACAAGATGATTCATTTAGCCCCAAACTAAACAGATGGATGAATCCTCTATACCCAAGGCAAAAAAAAAGCTGGAAGTGAATAGTACCATTTAAGCCCTGCTAGGCAGAAGAACTGGTAATGCTGCACTGTCCGCAAAGAAATCAGAGCCCACCAAGACTTGTAGGTATGACTTGTATCAGACTTGGGTCTGATAAGCAAATATATATAAGAGAAATTCAGGTTCTGGGACAATTCAGGCTGGTGCCAAAAACTAACACTGGGAGAAGGGACACACAATTAAATGAGCTTAACTGCACTTTGCAGCTAAGAATTAGGTAATGGGTGAATTTCCCAAGTCCTAACAAGTGAGTTTGGGTCTCTGGGAGCTTTTGAAATCTTCCCCATTATTATTAGGTATCTGGCTCTCCCTTGAGGATTTTAGGAAGACAACAATATGTCCTTCCTGAAAACCGACTTGTGCTATTACTTGGTCTGCCTTATTGAACTCTTTGGCACCGTGTATACCAGCTACAGACTGCGACAGAGTAGGAGTTCCAGTCTAATGAACAGATGAAAACAGACTAATATGTAATGCATATTTATCATGTTTTCTTTATCTGCTGCTGCCCGTGTTTGTCCACCGGCAGCAGATGAGTTTTACAATATATCAGGTACACATAGCAGCTTTTTTTCTGGTCTACTGTTGTTGCCTTGCGGTGCCTGCTAGCAGTAGGTGTTCTCCAGCAGGAGTGGAAGGGCTGGCAACCCTGCTGCTAAGGCTCTGCTTCACCTCTGCAGCTCTTTCTTTTCTTCCCGTAATAGCTATGGCTCTTCTCCAGGCCATGGACCGCACTCTGTGAGCCACAAACATTTTTCCAAGACATTGCCCAGTCATTTTCAGCCTGCTTTCTTTCATGTTGGGTTCCACAATGCCTAACTTTGTGCCTGCATCCCAACGTTAGGCAGTATTTTCCTTTAGCATGAGCCCGTGTCCTTTCTCTGCACAGGGAGCTGCCAGCACTAGAGTCATTTCCCAAGAAGGCCCAGCAGCCTTGACTGTGTGAAAGGATGTCTCTGAGCTTTTTTCTGGGCCATTTCTTTCTATAACCTTTCTGTTAATCTGAAATCATGTTGTCCACAATCAACTTTTCCACTAACACTGCGTGGATAGACCTACCTTTGTCTTGAAGTTAGATGTTTAGCTTGTGTAACCAGTGGAAAAAGGCACCTCTAGAGGGCAATTCATCCTATTTATTTCAGACACCAGAGAGAACTCTTCCTCCACCAAGTGGAGAGGAAACATCAATGACCATCAGTGTTCCTTTCTGTTGGTCAAATGCTGGATGGATGAGAGGTGCCCAACCCAAGGTTATCTTTAGCAGCTCCAAGGTTACAAGTGGGCAGGGAGCGCTCAGCTCCAAAACCAATTCCTTATTTTGTTTTGCTCTCCTGAGTTTCTAGCATTGCAGACTTGAGTTGGAATAATCATCAAACTTTTTCATCAGCTATTCTCATATGTAAAGGTTTGTTTCTAGCAATGGTATTTGACATCTTTCTTCTCCTTCCTCATGCACACCTTCCTCCCTCAGCTACTAAAATCAGAAAAAAATACAACCTTCTAAACTTCATCTGCCAAGATCAGCTCCATGGATAGGTTTAATTCTTATTTCTACTTTTATTCACTCTGCTATTAATTTCTAGTTGTATTTATTCCCATGTTTATTCAAAAGTTTTGCCTGACAACCAGCAGATCTAGTTATGTGGTGCTCTCTAAATTATACTTATTACTTTATTTTAGTTGCTACTTTGATCAAACAGTTATGTTGTCTATTAGATGGACAGCTGACATCAAGATCAATTATTCTAAGTAAGACTAGAAAATAACTCTTAATTGAGCTCACTCTTCCTGCAAAGAACTAATTCTGCAGAAGCTGCTGCTATCCTGGAAACTAACTCATGCCAAGATCACGCCACACCAGTTTTTTCCCCTCTGTAGAGGTTCCTTGGAAAGTTTTGCAGATAGATGAGCAAATGCAGTTCCATAAAACTGAGACCTGCATGAGAACTGCAAATGCAGTTCCATAAAAGAGGTGGCTTTGTCTTCCTTACGTCAATTTTTCTGCAGAAGAACATTGTTACACAGAGACCCAAGTCCTTGACATGAAGTAGCCTTTGTTTTGTTTTGTTTTGTTCTGTTTTGTTTTGTTTTTCAGGTCTGATTGTAAGTTGCTACAACTAAGTCCTCAAGCTCAGTTTGCCTTGAGATTCAGGATATTTTCTCCTCAGAATGTGTTGAGACCAGAGGAAAATTCCTGGGAGAGACCTACCCAAAGGACTATACGTATGGTGACAACTAGAATTCTAATATTTACTAAATAAATAAATAAATAAAATAAAATAAAATAAAATAAATAAAATAAAATAAAATAAAATAAAATAAAATAAAATAAAATAAAATAAAATAAAATAAAATAAAATAAAAAATATTGCCATTGGGAAATTGAATAAGATAGATCTTCCTGACTAAGGATTATGTACTAAATTCACATCCCCACAATAACAGTCTACATTTCCAGCCTCAGAAGGCATGAGAGGACACAATACTTCAAACTGGTAGCTGGAGAGAGAATGATCAGGGACAGCTGTGGCTGTGGCAGCAGTCAGGAAAGGAACCTGCTCCGTCCAGATTTGTTTTCCTTTTGGTGTTAAGACACTGCTGCAGGGCCAGAGCAGAGGTAGGTTGAAGAATGGAGCACATCCTAGAGCCCCTGCAGCCCAGAGAGCAGGGGACACTGCTGCCAGGGTTGAGCACTTTCCAGAAAGGTGCTGGAAAACAGGACCCCCAAGCAGCCATCTCAAGCCTTCCTTCCCACCCAACTCAGACACCAGCACTTTGATTTCTTTTGTGTGTGTTGTTTGTTTGTTTTATTTCTTTTTATGTAGTATTTACAAGAACAATGTAGAATGTATTTCACTTGCTTATAACAAAACGAAATCAAAGTAAAACATTTACATCGTGCAGTTCATTTGAACAAATCTACCTGTAAAATATGTACATACTGTAGTTTATTTGAACAAGTCTAGATACCATGAAAGCCTTCAGAAAATTACTGTACCAATAGTTAAAGTGGGTATCACTTACTTCATTAAAGAGTAAATCTTTGTTTCTTTACATTCCCCTTGTATTCAAGACACCATTGAGTATGTAGGGGCAGCTCCCTGCATGCCCAATTTTTATCTCATATTCACATTTCCTTCTCCTTCTCTAGTGTGGAGGAGGATCTGAGGTATTTAACTTTCTTTTGACATCAATACTCCATATACAAAACGTTCTACTTCTTTTCCACTACTTAGTGTAATCCAACCCTGTTCCCACAGCCAGATGTGTTATCATGCTACTCTGGGAGGATATAGATGGATGGAAAGAGCAAACCACATTTTTGAAAGGTTATACTTATTGTCAAACCTATTTTGTTATCTATTTATAGAATAACGATTGCTGGAGAAAAAAAAAAATCAGGATTCCTGATGTACCTAAAACTTTCTCTTTTTTCATGTTCCTTCCAACTATATTCAGCATTTTTCTTCCTTCAAAGAACAAATATCCAAGTAGGCTGACTTTTTTCGACACGTTCAGCCACATTTTTGCATCTGCCCATAAAATCTATGTATCATTTCTTGTCGTCTTTAGCATCCTGCACTTGGAAACAATAATTCCTGTTGTCTTGTCTGGTTGCCATTGACACAAACCATGTCAGAAATTCAACTCCTGTATCTTTTCAGCGAACATTTAGAATGTATAAAGGGAAATTTTGTCTTAAATTTCATAAGTTGTGAAGGTTCTTGCTAATAGCCTGAAGAGTTTCCTAATTCAAGCCACATCCTAGTCTTTAAAATTCTTCAAATATTTCTTGGGCTAAATTCAGAACCAGCTGTAAGTGGAGGTGGAAAGGAGATTGACAATGACTTCTCCCAGATGTCTGAGAGAAGTTCATCTCTCTGGTCTGCAGGACTACACACAATTCTAACATTCTTACTTTACAAAGTTGTTTCTTTAGAGCCAACATTTTTCCTGATTATTTTTTTCCTGATTATTTTTTCAAAAAACCTCCAGGCTGGTTTTCCTAAAGAAACAGCTTTTTCTTCAGTGTCTGTGAGAGGTGTCAGTTATGGATCTGTAACAAACTAAACCTTAAAACTGGATCTCTTCCCCTTCAATACAGATGAAGACATGCACCATGTACGATGGAATTATTTCTCCACTATCTGCTCGGAAGAGGAAGTAACCAAGGCATTCTACTCATTTTGATCCTCAAAGTACAGCATGGTTACTTATTTATTTATTGCTCCCTTCAGTTTTATGTGAAGACTTGAATCCAGTTACACGAAACTAAATAGGCACCATTCTGCATCGTGATTAATCAGACTGCATACTTCAATTCAGAGGATACGTGGTTCCCAAACCTACACCAGTCTGAGACTGGTGCAGACTCATTGTTTACAGGAATCTATTCCAGACTTTCATACTTATATCAGAGAGAAGGAGACATCCAGCAATAAAAGTTAGAAGCACAGAAGGGCAAGACTGTACCTTATTACTGGTAATCTGTTGAATCACTTCCAGGAATAAAATTTTATTAGTACTAGTCGAATGACTTTCAAAACATTAAAACATCCTCCAAATCCTTTTCTTGGCAAAGATAACAACATGTTACAGCTGCCTACAGTTCTGTAGCCATGAGATGTTTGTAGAAAAAACAGAAACAAATTCTCCAGTGTACAATTATCTGTTACGCTGAGGTAGTTATCTCTTGGAGAGGAATATTCTGAAAGCACTCATTTAAGCAAGGAATAATCCAAGTTGTTAAAAAAAAAAAAAAAAAGAGAGAGAGAGAGAGATTTTCTGTGGAAAAGTTCATAGAATCATAGAAGTACCGTTGTCATGACAACTGAATTTGGATCTGGAAAATGGAAAAAAAAAAAACAAAAACAAAAACACAGCTGTTTTGTAGACTGAAGAAACATAAATTGAGTTTGGGTGCACAAGGAAAATTCTTATCACTCTGGCGTGGAATAGCTCTTCTGGAGCAAGCTTTCTTAGTTTCTGTTTTTCAGGTTCTAGTTGTTTTGTTTTGCCTTTTTTCAAAGGATAAGGCTATTGAATTTACAAAGGGTGAGACCATCTCTTTTTTCTTACCGTTCTTCTCATAACAAGGGCACGTACCTGGGACACCATGTTTCAAAATGCTACAAACCACAGCCTAGGTGCAAAATAATAGAAGTGAGTTTCCTGCATCTAGGCAGCATTTTACACAAACTTGTATTTCTAATTTATTCAGATCATGGAAGACATGAAGAAGAAAAAAGCTGATATACATCCATCCGGTGAGAAAGCAGTACGTCTAGCCTGAAACATGTCTCTGTGTCTCACGTGGAAGTCAGCCAGGCTGAATTTTTCACTGTTGGCAGTTGGAGAATAAAGCAGATCTTAAACCTTTGCCATCATGTATCCTTTATCAGCTCTCTGCTTCCAGCACTTGTGTACAAATATCGCCCCTAAGATGACACAGGCCAATGCGACTGGGATCACTGCAATGTACCAGGACAAGCCAACAGCTGGAAAAGTAAAGAAATGAAATATTGTCAGAAAATTTAATTCTCTACTTTCAAGGAGGAAGAGGAGAAATCACATAAAAAGGATGTCTGCAAATTAACCTTCCAGCAGGGTTGACCACTTGCAAAAGGAACAGGTCTATTGATTCAGTGCTCTGGGAAATGGGTTTGTCGAGGTGGGAGGAAAATATTGGAAAACAATAGAGGGTGAGAATTTAAAGTTCAGTCCTCCTGTGTACACGTGGCTCTTCCCAGCCCCTGCTCAGAGTGGCTACGTGCTTTCCATCTTAATTCGGTTAACACAGCGACAATCCAAGCAGGAAATAAAGGCACCACATGGAAAGGGAGTACATAACAGCTAGTCTGCTCTCAAGCTCTATGAAGAATTTTCTCATACAGACCACCCAATAAATTACTAATGATCAAGCCAAGACTGTGAGCTTCTTCCCAAAATACACCTAGCTTCCAAGACAAGCATCTGTCCAGACCATTTTGGATTATGCTGGCCTACACCAGTTCATGGACTGCCTCCCCTTTAGCAATACCTGTATAGCTCACAGAAGACATGAGCAGCACATCATCTAGCTAAATGAGTACAAACCCCTCATCATAGGATGCTGGAGTGAGTCATGAGCTGTAACTCATAATGAAGACTGTAAATGTTCATGTTCCTTTCTAAGATGATATGAGCAAACTTTGGTGATTCATCAACGTCACGCAAAGAAACAATTAGCATTGCTTCACATTGTTTTTACAGCTGCTTCTTAGCCAGTGGTCTATCGCACTGCAACATTAATTGCGCTAAGTGTAGGGCTTCTCTTCCCATTACTAGAAGCCAAAATAACAACACCCACCATAATTTACACCTCTTGTTATTTTGGCAACAGTCTGTGCACGAGGAGAAGGAACACTCTGATCTTTATTCTGCTATTGTCTTTTTTTTTCCTACTTTCTGAGGAGCTGGGGTTGATCTGGCCCCGTTACACCCGATGAGAGTTTGCCAGTAGTCTCACTGGAGCCATCATTTCACAAAGCATATCTAAATTTGAGCCCTAGCCAATGAACAGATATATACCAGCACAGATCTTTTCGCTTGTGGAAAATGTCAATAATCGGCCCACAAGATGTGTTCATTGTGAACAAACTATTCTAAAACACTGTGCATGCTAGGTCTACAATTGAAAGAGGCAATCAGTTTTTCCCAGGTAATAATCCAGTTCAATACTAACTTGGAAAGTGTAAATGACTTTGATGATAATTTAGTTTTAGAATAACTATAACAATTATAGAATATTTGTCCCCCAAATAAGCAGTCAAGCTCATTACCTTCCTGCTTGACCCTTGTTGGCAGTACTTGGGATCCGTATCTGTTCTGTGCCAGACACTTAAAGTCTGTATAAAAATCCACTTCTTCGACAGATTCAAAAATCAGTGGCACTTCAATGAAGTTCTCACCATTTTCTGTGGTTTCTCTGAAAGAAAAAGAAAAGTCACATGTCAATTCCTTTTATCAGCTGGCTTTTCTCTCTCTGATATGTTCTTTCTAACAGCATATTGCAAGAAAATGCATTGGATATTTGCTCATCTCTGACTAGCCTCTTTGCATTACAGGACACCTGTGGCTTCCAGACCAGTTCTGCCAGCTCTTTGAGTCTCCATTCCTCTCAGTACCCTTGCTGCACTCCAGAATATTCTTTTTCTCTAAGATCTTTATTTGTCTTGCAAGAAATAAAGAAAAGGGAGGGAAGAAATGCAGAGAGAGTTGTGTATAACTGAGCTCCCCACAGAGGATCATGGAAGAATCTAGTTCCTTGTTTCTGACCATCTAGTAGTTTCTGAGATTAATTTTTACTATCAGCTGGAAGAGTATACATGGAGAACATAAATCTGCAAACACTCACTTAGCAAACTGAGCCACCATACCTGCTTATCATTCACCTCAAATCTAGATTTCAGTACAAGAAACTGCCTAGAAATTTTCCAGCTGACTTTAACCTGATTGTTTCATGAGTGCAACTATTTAAAAGTGGTTTTCTAGGTGCAAATACTGTCTCTTGATACCTTTTAGTCACTGTTGGAGAAGTTGTCCAGCTGCTTTGCAATGGCTTGTTCATGAGTCTGCTATGTATTGCAGCAATGGACTTCTCCGGGGTCAGTACCGCAGGAAGGTAGCAACACGGCAGTGAGTGCTTTGCCACAAATTTCTGTGGGAAATACGTTTTCCCTGTGGTATTTGACCTGATATGACTTGCTGCCCTTCTGAGGGCTTCCAGCAGAGCTGAGACATCTCACACACCATGGGTGTTGTGTGACCCTGAGATGGCATTGCCTCTTTCCATGTGCAAACATATAGTAATATTTAATAGTTACATTAGTAATATTAGTAGTAGTGGTGGTGGTAGTAATAGTAATGAAAGTCTAAGTAAGAAAGCGCATGTGCTGCTCTATTTTAAGTCCTGAAGAGACTCTAGATGTTCCACATTATGTCTTATGTCACTTGACAATGCATTTAAGTTCTCTCACTCATGTAAACAACATTATGAATGAGTGGTCCAAATCAAGCTGGGGGGAATACCAAAACACAGAAAGACTCGGGAACCCAGCTGAGCTATCATGTTACCTCTGGGTCTAACTGTGCAATAAACTCAGCACGGCCAGGTTCTTATCTGGTACTGAAGCCGCATGGCTGCAAACAGCCCACATCCATAACTGTTAAACACTCTTGTCCCTCAGAACAGGGATGTCACATCCCCAGACCCTGTCGTCAATGGTCTCTGCCATATAACAAGTCTTAATCTCTAGCCAAGACCTGTTTGGGAAGGTCATAGCTGGTGAGGGACCCGTTTGGCCACTAACAACACAAGCCTTGAGGCATGCAACTATGAGGCAACTCAGAAAACATCTCAAGATGGGGAGAGACAATGGATCAGGGCAAGAGGATGTGGGATATCCTGCCTTCCCTCCCACCAGCATCCCCCCTGGTGCTTCCCTGGCGCCAGCTTTAGCACTCCCTGGGCATCTCAGTGAGTCAGTTTAAATTTTAAGTCATTGACACGAAAAACAACAACCCTAAGGGGAAAACCAACAATAATTAAAATAACAATTTTAAAAAATAACATAAAAGGCAAAAAACATTGGGTAGCTTTCTGTTATCTAAGTGTATTCAGAGGTTCAGTGAAGTATCTGATGAATGCCAGAGATAGTGTGGGGGAATGGATGGTGGCATTTCCTTGGCACAGGGCAAGGAGAGTGATAAGAGAAGCACTGGGAAGGATCAAGGCCCATTGCTTTCCACTGCAGTCTGCTCTTACATTAGCTCAGCTGCCCACGAGACTGTGCTTCAAGTGTAAGGCTCTGAGCTGGGTCATTTACAGTATAACAGGAATGAAATCCAGAGATTACAAAAAATAAAAATCATTCTGCTTGGTATGTTTTGGCTTTTTGCTTGATTGTGTGTTTTCTTAGCTCTGACTTTTACTTCTGGACTCTCCATATCCCATTTCACTACCTGGCATTCATCTAAGAGCCAGTGTAACACTGCAGGTTAAGATAATAACCACAAGAAAACACGTTAGCCTGACTTACTGTCGTTCTCCCTCTGTAACTCTGTTTTGCTTGTAAACCACATCAATGATGGTGTCATTTGCTAACCATTCCACGTCAGTATCGATATGCCTGCTCAGTCCAGCAAATACTTTACAAGGGAGAGTCATCTTGGAGCCTGTTGGTGAAAGATTAAAAAGCACTCAGATACATGTTGAGAACTACTTTATCTCGGTGAAAACCAACATCTCTGGTGGGAGATCAAGCTCCCACACATGTCAAGCATTGCTACATTCAAAAATGAAGTTAAGCCCCAGATTGTTTTTGATTTAGATGTATTCCTCAGGAGGCAAAAAGGGCACAGTGCGATTTACTGCTCTGGAGCAAGTGCACTAAGCAGCAGTGCAACCTCCCTCGGAGGTGCTACAGGCAAGGACATTCAGTTCAAGATGGGACCGCTAGAGCCAAAGTGATGATACAAAAATTCAGAATTTTGCTATAATTATTGCTACTCTGAGCTAAGGATAAAAATCCTTCACACTAGTGCATAGCTATTTTATATGGAAAACGCATGGCTCAATATTTATACAATGTTGTTATTATACTGATGGTGATCAGAGGGATGTAAAACACTCTGTGGAGCGGATAGGCAAAAAAAATGACTTAGTGGTACATTGACAGAAAAAAAGGCATTTAAATTTAAGAACACTGTGTGTAGAGCATCCACGTTAAAAGAGCTTAGTGTAAAATATACCTGCTCTTCTCTAAAATGAGGAAAGGCAACAGAAATGCACAGTCATAACACGATCTTCAAAGAAAAAAATGAGTTTCTGTCAAGGTACTTTCTAACCGATTACAACTGTCCAACTGAAACATTAAGAAGCAATTAAAAATATCTCCTCCCAAAAGAGTTGGTGGCTCATTCAAAGCCACTGGAAGACCTAGAGCTGTTTGAGGGTATAGTGTGAAGCTGCCTCTCAGCTGACATAACCAGTATCAAAGGAACTATAATCATAAATGCCAACAAATTGGACTGTAAAGGAACCTCCTCTAAGTTTCCTCTCATTAGATGTTCCCGAAAATAGCACTGAGCCTTACCAAGAGCAGCTGATGTTGTCTTTTGAGTTGGATACACGATTATGGGGGTAATTCTCTTTTCTTGTTCTGGACAGAGAGAGAGAAAATGGAGAGTCAGTGCTAGCACAGGGGGAAATCTGGTCATTGCCCGGACCGGCGGAAAGCAGCACTCCATCACCCAGAGGGGTTGGATGTGGGTTAGTGGTGATATTGGTGGTAGGGGGACGGTTGGATCAGGTGAACTGGAGGTCTTTTCCAACCTTAGTGACTCTGTGATGTCCCTTTGGAGCCCGGAGGAGCGGATTTAGGCAGAAGCCTTGGCGAGCCCGGAGGATGCCGCCCGCTGTCGCTGTCGCACGGCCGCCCTCTGCTGCCCGCCGGGCGGTGAGAAGCAGCGGCCTTCCCCCAGCCCCAGCCAGGACGGAGGCTCCTTTATCCCCCAAGCTCCCCAGAGTCATGCACAGTGACCTCCCGCACCCTAGGACGTCGAGGGATGGGTTTTGCCTCCTGCAAGGCTGCTGCCGAAGGCAGGGCGAGCGCTGCGGCTAGGCGCACAGCTGTGCCAGATGTGCTATGAGAAATTGCTCTATCTCCTCCAAAAGCAGGCACCCCTGTTCTCTCCCCCTGGCAGCACCAGAGGGCTGGATGCGAGCCCCCCCTCCTGAGCTTCACTAGCAATGAGCTGTGGCAAAGAGCTTTCTTCAGCGCGGCGCTGTTTTTGGGGGGGGTCAGTATTTACCCACTGTCTGCAGCTGGATTGTTCTGGTGATCTCGTACGTTACGCCTTCGTACGGGAAAGACATCTTGCAGGTGTAGTAGCCAGAGTCTGTTGGCAATACAGAAGTGAAGATCAGGGAATTCGAGCCTTTCAGAAACACAAATTTTTCACCGTTGTCTTCCAAAAGCAGGGCATCCTGGAGAAAAGGCAACAACAGATATTATGTCCCCAATAGGTGTGGTTACACCCAGCTCCACTTTCCCACTACAAATCAGGTTGTTCAAATGTACATCCCTCTTCAAAACGGTCTGGGGCATTCTATGAAGTGTGAAGAATTGCTATTGTAATGTAGCTATAATATGCGTGTAAAACCTTTCAGTAAAGCCACATTTTAAGATGGAAAAATATACCAGGGTATTTCCTGAATCCTCTTACGAGTAATCAACTAAGAAATTCTTCTAAGAAAAATAAGTTTTGTGTAAACAGGAAGGTTTTCCTGCTATTACTTTCCATACATGTCCTTATTAGAATAATATTCTAAGGCACTCTTCTAAGACAGATAGATTCTAGTAATCACACAGGTTTTCACAACTCTATTACTGACCCTACACAACCTCAGAAACCATGAAAAATTCTTGCTCTCTATCACTAACACTCACACAAGGGCTGGAGCCCAGCTAAGAGCAGCTATTTTCTTTCTCAGTGAAGGCAGGATAGCTCTTTCTGACAGTTGTGGCATGAAGCACATTGTGGGGAAGGACTTTCGCATAGATACGTCAGTTATAGCCTGCTCCTGAAGGAAAACCTGAGCAGAGACACTTTGCTGGCATGACATTTATCACACCATAGGCATGGCTGTGTGAAACCAGCACAGGAATGACATCCTGTGTTAAGAAGGATAGCAGCAAGAGGCAGAGCATATGGTCATAGTGGGAGTGTAAACAAAAGCTAAACCAAGGTATGGGGAAAATATAACAAGACTCCCATGCTGTGCAGTGGAGAGCTGAGGATGGTCAGGTGAGGGATATTTAACATTAAAGGCAAAACCAGGATTTCCTACTTGAAAAGTCCTGGACTAGCAAGATAGGCAAGAGACCACTGTGAACTTCGATTCAATCTCTTCCCAGCACCTCCACATGTTGTAATCTTCATTATATTATGCTGTGACATAAAAACGCTTGTGACTTTAACAACATGGAGTTCAGGAGAAACAGAAAGTGGAGATAAGTGTTTGTTTAAAAATGGGATGAGATTAGGCTTTGCATAAAGAGAAGTTTAAAGTTCTACCTTGTACCACTTGAGCTCCAGACTGGTTATATTCGATGTAAACTCCCACAGGTCAGGGCAAACGATCTTTCCAGAGGTAAAAGTGAAGAGGACCTGCATATAAGCGATGTCTCGAGCAGCTGTCTTCTCCACAACGGTGAGGTGGATGGACACCTCGGCACAGTAGGAGTTGTTCCTGTGGGCAGAGTGGGGAGATGTGAGCACCCACAGGTGACAAGGGAGCCCAAGTGACACCCATCAAATCCATGGCAAGTGAACTTGAAAGCTGGCAGCCAATAGCTTAAGCTGGTTTGAAGCCAGTGAGAGCAGGCTTTGAGACTCTCTGCGGTAATTGAGTGGGTGTGAGCTGGATCAGGGTGTTCCTCTCTACACCTGTCTTTCCAGACCTGAGGAGACCACCCGGCCTGGTCTGAGAGGTGCCCTCACTTCCACAGCCATCTATCCCTTGATACACAGCCTCTGGTCTGTGTTTGATTCCTCCCAGCTCTGTTTCCCTCCTTAGCCCGTTCTAGGAGGCCAAGACAGAGATCATACCAGGAGGGATCCCGAAGAATCACTGGTACTTGTTTTGGGCACGATCTAAACATGTTGCTGACACATGTCTGCCTCAGAGTTCCAAGCTTTCTTTTCTTATTTGTACACAAAATTTGCTGCACACCCTCAGGCTAAAGCCATGGCTTTGATTTTGCACGGAGGGGCACCGTGTCCATCTGAATAGTGGCAAGTGTGTCACGAACCCTCCACCCATTTCCTTGGAAGAGCTCTTGACTGTGAAAACCCTAATGATTGCAACGTAAGGAAGAAATAAAAAGTTTAAAGCATGTATTAAAATACATCTGCAGTTACTATTGTACAGCTGGTAGGCATTTCTGTGAGTACATATTGGTCTACATAGAAAAGAAGGCCTGAGAGTTGCACAGTATCTAGCTTTTCTTCCCAGCCCCAAGTAGCAATCACTTCCAGTCACAAGGAGGAACAAAATGGACAAATAACTTGGGGGAGGCTGATGCCTGAGCTGTGTTCTCTCCAGCCTGTGAAAGCCTGCTTCTGCCTTCCCCCAGGAAGAGGCCAGCATAACCAGGCATGTGTCTGTGGTCTGATGGGCTCACACTGCCCCTATGGCACTGGGACCGGTGGGATGCCCAAATCCCAAGTTCTTTCTCAGCAAACTAAGAGATCTGTGATACTTCGCTTCCAGCCTCATTTCACAGACTGCTGAAGACATGTTCTCATTTCCTTATGGGATCATATGAGAAGGAAGTACATTTATTATTTTTTTTGTACTCCATTAATCCTGTAATAATGCTAACAATGAAGCTATTCACTCAACCCCTGCATATCTTTCTCAAACAGGTTTCACAGCATTTTGCTATAGCTGGCAGTAACACTGCCACATTTAGAGGCATTGAGGAACTGAGGCAGGAGTGTCCAAAAACAGGATAAAAAGCAGAATTTGCATGAATTCCATATTTACAGCCTTTTCTAATGCTGGCTGCACTACTGAAGTCTTCTCTCCTGCCCCACCATTGCGTTCCCTGCTAACACATAGAAAGGCCAGCCTAATAAGTTGAACGTGATTTATTAATTTGCTTTCTGCCTGCTGTTCTGCAAGGAAAATGAGCTCTGCAGAGGCAGCTCCAGGTGCTGGGATGTGCAGACGGGTACAGACCTCATGGGTCCCAGAGCGAGGGAGGTGGACTGGAAGGAGGGCAAGGACCCAGGCACCTTCTGGATTTCAGGCCTGCATGGCACTGATGGTTTTTGCCTTCCTCAGTCCGCCACAAGTCCAGATCCTTGTTCCTCTTTTGAAACTGTACAGCAGGCTGTCAGGCCATAAACTCTCAGAAAAAAAAAAATGACCAGTAAGACTGAAAATAGCCTTGGCTGCAAGCCTGTATTATCACAGGTCTGGTACCAGCCCAGTAAATACACACCAGGTCTCAAGAGACATCTTCCAGCAAAGCCAAAGCAATCAAATTCTGCTTTAAAATGTGCAAAAGAAGAAAAGTAAAGATCAGCGGAAAGGAACAGGGAAAAAGGAAGACACCTCAGAGCCACTCTCTCTTGGTATATGCTTTGTAATGCAATCCAAACCGCAAACAATGCTGTCTGCTTCTCTAAAGCTGTGATGTACAGCTTGTATTCTGCCGTGTTCCCTGTCTGCTGCACACCCCTGCTTGCTGCATCCCTGACTGACTTAAAAATAAGCTAGAGCAAACTTCTCATGTACACTATTTCCTTGTGAGATCGTAGAGTAGCAATACTGTGTAGCAATACATGACGCATCAAGATTTCTATATACTTATAGAGGAGACACAACATATTTAAAGTTTCTAACTTCCCATATATTTTCTATATTAAAGTTGGTGAGGAAATGATCTTATCCAAACCCACTCTGAAGATAAATTGTGTTTAGAATCAGGCTAATATATTTTAGATACAGTCACCTTTTTCAGCACACTGAATTTTCTTTTAAGCACCTACCTTCTCGTACAGACATACACTCCTGAGTCTTCTTGCCTTGCTGGTAAAAACCAGAGTGCATCTCCTTTTGCCCAGATTCTTGGATCTTCACCTCTTCCTGATATCATGGTTTTTGAATCATTTTTGTACCATGTGATATTATGGGTCAAGGAAGAAAAATCCAGATGTTTGTATCTGGGGGAAGGGCATTTCAGAACCACAGGTTCTCCATGCAGTTCATAGTAGTGTTGGAAAGAGATGATGTGATCTGGGCAGTTTTCTATATAAATCAGAAATATTTTATCATTACTGCTGGCCAGGCGCATTAAAAAAGAGGGGAGAGGGAGACAAGAAATAAAAATAATAATAATAAAAAAGGAACATGCCCTTACCTGTGCTTTTCCCTTGCTGGAGCCTGAAAGCAGAGGCACCCACTGTGCATGTAAGCAGGACAAAGAAGAGCCCATGCATTTTTTCCCAGAGGAAATGGGAAGGAGAAGACCGAGGGAAAGTGTCTTGAAATCTGAAGGCAAGTTTATTAGGAGACAAAAGATACAATTAAAATACTCAACATTAACACCAGCAGAGTTAATTCCCCTATTCCAAACACCAGGCCTGGTGATCTTGGGTTCTCCTTAGGGAACAGATGGGCTTCTTCACCCCCAAATTATGGCTTGGCATCTGGCTTGGCACAAACACTTCTGTCATTTTCCTTTCACTCTGGGAGATGCAAACAACACGCCACAAGATGCTGCTGTCCCCATGTGTTTGTTTTGCTTTGTTTTGTTTGGTGCAATAGCTAAGGGTAGAGAAATACAGCTCTGTGTATTTAGCAATAAGACATGATGGAGGCATGGGCCAGCCACTTCAAGTTGGCTGTAGTGTAGCTTGTTTGGGTAAGCCCAGGAAAGAAGATGCAGCAGAGATTTAGGTCTCTAAGCATTCCCTTCAGTTTTCTGCCAAGGCTGTATGCCTTAATTAAATCCTGTGTGACTCCATCTTCCCCACTATGGCTACCAAAATAGGCCAGAAAGCACAAAACCTTGCTATAACCAGAGCCAAGCTCTCCGTGTCCCCAGCAAATGGGGGAACAACAACTTTGACTCATGCACAGCCACCTTGCAGTTGGTACACAAGTGAGTACAGAGTATAGACACCACAACCATCTCTGAAAACAGAACTATCTGCTGCTGGTCATTCATTAGCTATCATCTGTATTGACCTGGACAGGCAAGTAGGCATCTGCGTACATCACTGGCCACTATGGTCTGCCATAAGATTTCAACTGCTGTTGCTCAGTCGACTGATCACATATTATCTCTGTGTACAACATTCAGAAATGCATTACATTTGCTATAGATAGGCATCAGTTTATGCTGTACGTAAGTATTTGTGTACATAAATAAATACAGTACACATACATAATGCACACTTTTTCCATATTGTGTACAGAAATGCAAATTACATACATTTAACATTAGTCTTATGCTAAGACTGTCCCATTAGATGGATATGAAATGACTAGACAACTGCTTCAAGTTTTATCCAAGACTAAAAATGTATTTCGACCAGTATAATTCATTCCTATTCATAGGTACTTACTTGCAAACACTCTCTGTGTATCCCATCATGCTCATATTTATGTGGTTTTAATCCAAATTTCTCCATGTTCTAATGGCTAAATTTACCTGACACCTGATAGTCTGACTGTAATAACTTATCTCTAGCTTATTGTCATCTTTACAGCACTACAAAGCCAACCTCTTGCTCAACAAATACAGTTTCATAACCACAGGTTGGCTCCCATACCATGACACATGCAAGCGTTTGGCATGGAGCAGTATCCCCTTCCATGACTATGCCTGGATCAAGAGCTAGTGTCTTCCTTTGCTGCATTAACAGTGCCAATGGGCCGATGGTTCACATGTAATGCCCTATAAAAGGATATCTTCAGATCCTCTGCCTGATGAAAATACCCGGTTGTTTTTGTTCAGAGATTTCCAGTCCCTTCAGTGTAGTATCTAGCATTTTCTGTAAGCCCCTGCACACCCTGAGGTTTTTAGGGATAGCTTTCATTCCCAGATGTCCATAAGCTTCACTTACCTGTGGTTCTGCATCCTTTCACCCGTTAGTCTCTCGTGAAACGATGTAACAATGAAAATTGCTGGTGAGAGCCTTATATAGAGCTTAGCCCAACAGGCAGCGGAAATTTATCGCTCGTTGCCCAATCAAATTTGTGTCAAAACCAAATGACATTTTAGACCCACCTTTCTTTCCTTCCGTAGAGTGAGGATGAGAGAAATAGAGACAGGGAGAGAGCAAAAATATGCATTTGGGTTTCCCAAAAAAGGGGAAATGACTGCTAAATATATGACTAAATTTCCCTTTTTCTGACGAATGGCAGTTTACATGCACTCGTGTCTTCACATGACTATTTTACGCTCTACCTAAACCCAAACTTTCTCATGGGTGACAGACGGTGTCCTGCAGCATAGTCAGCAGCTGAACAATTGCACTCTTCACATAACGTGTTTGGTGAGTTTTTGTGTGGACAATATGGCAGGTTTTTCCTCTTTTGTGATTCCTCATATAGCCTGTGAATCACGAATGGGTTTATTCCTCTTTCCTTCCATGACAACCATCTCAGTTTCACGCTTTGCATGAAGGCCATCTCTATGGTGGGGTGTAAGGAATTAACTGATGCAAGCAGGCTACGGTCTCCAGGCTCACAAGCAGGAGGGTGAAAAAATGGGTTTTGAACTGTGGTAATGTTGACTTCTGCCTGTCTAGAAGAGGGCAGTCATGTGAAGGACTTCAGTCTGGAGCAGGACCACAAGTCAGTTTTTCCCGTGCCTTGCCCTGACATGTGATGCCTCCTGCGGGCAATCCAGGACTTCTTCCAGCCCCTTTGTCCCTCAGGGACCGGCTGTCATGCACCACGTCACTGCTAACCCAGGAAGGCACTGTGTGGTGTCCTGCTGACCTCCCAGCACTGGTGTTGGCATGCAGCTCCCTGCCCACAGACCTCACAAAAATGCCTCCTCCCCAGGACTTCAGAAACCTCAGACAAGAAGCCCTAGTCTAGAGCACCAGGATCCCAGCTTGAGGTTAAGGCTTCGTGGTGCTGCCACTAACCGAGTAGTGACTCAGAAACAGAAGCGATGCAACCATTGATTGCAGTAAGGAGATACAAATCCTTCATGTACCATTTATTAATTTATCCCTAACATAATTTGTGAACTCTTTATTTCACTATTGTCATCCTCATTTATACTGGAGACCTTAGAATGTTGTTTAAGAGAGGGAAAATTGCCAGTTTTTGAGACCATGCTGCCATTTTCCACAGGGAGAAGAAGCATATAGCTGATGACACCTATTGACATACCGCAGTCTTTGGGGATGTGTCATATGCCAGACAGAAGAGCCATCAGATAAGGTGACCAGTGTCATCCGAAGTCTAAGCTCTACTTCTCTGGGACAGTCTTTTCACGTACGCAAGGGAGGTGGGAATCTCTAATGGCAACCCTGGCCACAGGTGCCAAACAAGTTGCCAGCACATAAACTCAGACATTTACCAGGCTCAAAAAGAGCAAAACTGCAGGAAATGAGGTTAAATGACTTTGAAACGATCACACCTACCAACTGCTGCAAACACATTCATTGCATTCATTGAATGAAGCCATCTGATCGCAAGCTGTTCAGCGAGCAGCAGAATGAGCATCGCTAGCTCTTCTGGAGATATGTGTCCTTAGCGCACACACAAACCCCTCCACTCCAGCCCTTTCAGCTCTCCCCTCATGGCCTCCCCTCACGGCCAACCAATTTCCCTCACGCTTCTACAAATTCAGATGCTCTGAAAACATGAAGTGGGCTACAAGATTCAAAGTGAGTTTATAATGCAATGATATGTGCTATCCTGCTTTTAAAAAACTAGACTAAAACCAAATACCTACAGAGTAATGGTGTAGTTGCCAGATAATATTTTTTAAACTTTCCATTTATTTTTTCCAATTTTTTTCCAATTTTAACTAAATTTCTTCAGAAGAGCTCTATCTTAGCTGTCTTTTTTTTTTTTTTTCCCATAAAACATTGTGATCACACACCACTACCAGGATTTTAAGTCAAAATATTACATCTGGAAGTGCAACAGCCTGGTTTCCTACAGCTCAGGAATAAATGTATGTTTTTAGGGGCTGTCTGCTGAGAAGACCATGTCACTTTGTGGTCAGTTATTACTGAGTATTTATAAACAAAAATGTGCAAGTCCAGCAGCTATATATATAGAGGCACTTTTAGGGAAGCTGGTGTCGTTCTGTGGTTTCGCTGTGCAGATGATTCATTTATACTGCTCAAGATGCCGGAGCAGAGCTGTGAAATTCCTGACTTGAAGACCAGGCTATTCCCCATATGTCTCACTCATTGCTCATCTCACTGGAGAGCTGTTTCCCACACCAGGGTTGCACGCAGATACCTTTGCTGCTCATGCGTGGATTTTTCTCTCTTAGGACATCCCAACCAAATAACCCAAAATCTCAAATAATATTTAGCATTCTAGCAGTCCCTTCCTACAGGGGTTTCAAAAGGCCTTCACAAAAAAGGTGTGTCTGTTCATGATCTGTAGTTCATGTAAGGGGAAATAGAAAATCAAGTGTCATGGAGTGGGGATAAGACCATCTGTACAAGGGACTCCCAGGTTCTGATGTCTTTCCTGGGAGAACTCATCCAAATTGCTCCATGGTTGATGCTGTTTGACATCCAGGGACTGCACTCACATGGATTTTGCTAATTAGTTCTGTTACTCAGTTTGGCTGAGCCAGCTTCACATGATTAAAAATAGGAGAAAATTTCTCTTGTTCACATAAGAATAAGGTGGCAAGACGTTAAGAAATATTGAATGTTGAAAGCTAACTGGCAAGAAGATGCAAAGTAAACCACAGCTATTGCACCAACAACACATGTTCTTGGGCTTATTGATATGGGCAGACCTGGTTTTAATAATTTATAATGTCCTTGTGCATAGTTCCCAGATGGGCTCTTGGGGAGCTCTGAAATGGAGAGGCAAGAAAAACTATCCAGCTCTGAGAAACACCAAATAAAAGGGACAGAAAGAGTAAGACCGAGCAGAGGGACTAGCCTGATGTGCAACGGATGCCAAGAATACAGGAATTCATATGCTTTTCCAGAGAAATAAGTGCTGTCACATACCAGTTGTATTTGGTATATGGGAGAAACAGGGAGAGATGGGCCAAGAAACAAACACGCTGTCACGAGGGGGTGCTTGCTTCACTAGAGAAGTGACAGCTTGGTTGCAGGCTGCCTCCCTGCTGCCCCATGGGCTCCTAAGCTTTCAACAGCTCCTTTCACTGCAAAAGCAACCCGACAGGCTGCAAAGACTGATTACACAGGCAAGGGCTGGAAGGGGAAGGGAGGAGGAGGGGACCCTCACTGTAGAAGTCAACAGGCTGCAAGGGGCTAAGTGAGGGCTAGAGAGGCCCAGAGCCAGCAGCAATAAGCCAGAGGGACTTCAAGCAACAGAAGGCTGTGTTTATCCTCTCCAGTGCTTCTTCTGCCCTCAAATGGAGTCTGAGCCAACAGAGGAGGATGTCTGAGAAGCCTCTACCTGCTTTGGCCATGCTCTTCACTGAACACATCACACCCATGTTTGCAGGCCCCTTCTGGGACATGGCAAAGTCTTTGTCCTGCCCACTAGTGCTGCACGCAGGCTGCCAGCAGCAGATTAAATTGTCAGCTATAGGATGATGAAATAAAGAAAGGATTGCTAAAAAAGTGGGGTTTGCTGGCTTTTTATTTATGGGAGAAAACCATCCTTGGGCATGGTCTACATGACATATGGCACAATGAAGGCAAGCAGGGAAGGTGGATTGTTGCAAAGATGAGGTTGATGGGAGCTGAAGAAGTGAAGTGTTGTCTCCGTTCCTGTGCACCAAAATGGAGATGGTAATCTAAATTGCTAAGTAGTGACAGTTTCACCGTCACCACATCTGAAAGCCTCTCAAACATTACAATAAGAGTGGGGAAAAAAAGGCCCTTTACTTCCTTTTCCCATGGATAAAATTGCATATAGGTATGCTGAACCGTGTTCATGGACTGTCAAAGGGCAGTTTCACCAGTGCAGCAAGTGAAATCAGTGGGGCCATGCAAGCACAGATGTGTGTGTACTTCTCTGCATTTCTGCAGCTGATTGCTGACGAGCCAGGTGGGCCACAACTGCCAGCTCTGCTCGAGCATTTTCCCAAGCCATCACTGCTTGGATGGAGCAAACCTATAGCATACACTTCCTACCTCGTCTCTGTGAGAGGCTTTAAGTAAAGCTGCAGCACAGGCACGGCCCCTCACCATGTTGGGGCTGACCAGCGTGAGCAAACGATGCCAAGGAAAGCAGCGAGCAGACACTTCCCACAGCTGTGGCATCATCTCAGACCGCAGGCAGTGAGTCAGTAGGGGACGTGGTTTGAAAGCTAGCTAAAGCAAACCTGAGATTGCTGAGCAGCTTTTTTTCCCCTCCACTTCCAAAATGTGATGCTTGCAATCACAAACAGTTTTTTTATGTATGAAGTAACATAATGCACTCTGTGGACTTGCATGTGAAAACTGTATAGGGATTTAAATACGTGGCACTGGTTATGAAAAGCCCATGGTAACAGCAGGCAGGGGATGAAGTGTGACCAGATGAGGAGCATGAAGTCATGTAGAGTTACAAGAGCCAGAACAACAGGAATAGAATAAGATTTCTAAATCAGTTATGGTGGCTGCTTCAAGCAGTCAATCCAGAAAACAATGAACTTGAGAAGCTAAGCAAAGAAAACCAGATGACGAAGCTTTTTGTTCATGATTACTGTTCTTGTTGGCTGTATTTAAATTTAATTGGTAAAAAAGTCACTTTAGCTCTGAAAAACAATGACAAACATATATTCTAAGAGTAGGGAAAAATGTAGCTGGTGTTGATCTGTAGTAGTGGTTACTGTAGGTGCACTCAGAGGGTAATAGTAACCATTCTTTTTTTATTACATGTTCCTGAATGAAATCTTTGTCTCACCAAGGAGATGAAGTCATTTATTTAATGCAGACAGTAAATCTTGTAGTTTTAATATCCTTCTGACACACAAGTATAGTTTACACACTTGTTTTAAGAAGCACAAAAGATGAAATACTCTTAGTGGGTACAGTTACCCATGATATTTCTTTCCTGCTCCACAGAAAGAATGTGCAATTCATTCACAAGATGTTCTGTGGGA